AACTATACCATCTTTGGTGCTGGATGGGGTGGCACTGCCCCAGACAAACCCATGCGCATTTTGGGGGTCCTCAACTCACAACTCCTGCTCGAAGAGCAGGTGGCAGTCGTGGCTAGGAGGGCCTGTGCACAGCTTCGTGTTGTGTGCCAGCTGCGTCCCTTCCTGGATTGGGAAGCTCTGCTCACAGTCACTCATGCCCTAGTTGCCTCCAGATTGGACTACTGTAATGTGCTCTACATGGGGCTGCCCTTGAAGAGTATCCAGGAGCTTCAACTGGTGCAGAATGTGGTGGCACAGGCAGTTTTATGTGTGCTCCTAGAAGAGCACATATTACACCTCTGCTTCATGAGTTGCATTGGCAGCTGGTTTGCTTCTGGGTCCAATTCAGGGTGCTGGATTTGACCTTTAAAGCCCTTCATGGCATGGGGCTGGGTTATTTGAGGGACTGCCTCTCTCCGATTATATCAGCCTGTCCCATTAGATCCGGCACGGAAGGTATGCCTCACGTTCCATTGGCCAGGGACTTGCATTTGGTGGATCCCAGGAGGCAGGTCTTCTCTGCCATGGCTCCCTCCTTGTGGAACATTCTCTCTCCTGAAGTTAGGCTCACCCCTTCCCTGCTGTTGTTTAGGAAGTCCCTCAAGACCTGGTTATGTCATCAGGCCGGGAGGGGGGGTCTTTTGGAATTGGAGATATTCTTAGATGGCTCCACTGTAATTGATATTCTGCTCTCTCCGTGGGGTTTGTATATTTTAAAATCTAAATTTTTAACTTTTTGATAATGTTTTTATTTTAATAATCACTTTTTATCTTAGAATGCTTGATTTTATCCACTTATTATTTTATTTAATTGTTGTATGCCACCCAGAGTTGCTTTGTGTGAGATGGGTGGCTATATAACTGTGACATATGAACAAACAAACAAACATAGCCTCTAACATCTTTCCAGATCTGATAAAAATGTGATTCATCTCTTTGTGAACATTCAAATTTTATCAGTGACTTTTCCAAGAAAAGCAATTAACTATACCTTAGCACAGCAACTCTCCAATGATAAATTATCAAAGAATTTTTAATCTGAGTAATTATTGAATTAGTAGCTGAGAGTAAAAATATAGTAAGTTCTTTTTTATTTCATTTGAAAATAAGAGATAATCCCAAATCTGGAAGTCACTTTTTGTTTAGTGACTATTCCGACTTCCTCAAAAACTTTCTTCCAAAAAGGTGCAATCTTTTTGCAAGTCCATCACATATGAAAAAAATGTTCCCTTCTGATTTTGCCCTCTCCAACATTTTGATGAGTAATTATGATATATTTGCAGTATTTTAACTGGAGTTAAGTGCCAATGATGTACTACCTTCTACTGCATCTCTTGGAAATGAGTTGATTGAAAAGACCTGATTTCCATAGTGTTTACTACCTCATTTCATCTATTCATTTTCCTAAATCTACATGCAAAACTTCTTTTAAACCTACCTGGGGGCGGTGCATATGTGTGTGTATAATCTAATTCCAGTTCCAATAATAACCTATATATTTTTGAGATTGTTGGGAAAGATAATTATTAATTTCTCAAAGATTGATATGGTGGCTCCTTTGTATCCTTCTTATTCAAAGAGGATTTAAGTTGGAGCCATGTAAGCCAATAAAAATACCAAGCTATTTGAGTTAAAGAAGTTATCTCTTCTTTATTACACATTGTCTTACTGTATTGTTATAAAAGTGATTAAGATCTCTCCTATGCTTCAGTTGTGTTGGCCTATCTTGATTATAGGTATACTCTTTTTGGAACATATTTATATTACCTATTTGTATAAAAACTTTTGGAAGAAAAAACATTTGACTTGTGGATCCATCTACCTCTTTTACGTTTTCCAGCTTTATCCATTGTCTTGCTGGCTCTTCCAATATATACCAAATTGCCCTATCTGGATGACACCAATTCATATTTTCTGATATACACTTTAGTCCTTTCATTCATAATTAAACCAAGTCCCTGCATGTACAGTATTCATCAATTTCACACCACAAGATCAGACCACCTCCTTGTGATCTATTACATCGTCCTCTTTCTCTTAGTTTCACAAGCACAGAACATATTTAATAAGCCAAAAGCACACAAAGCACAGTTTTGTATTAAGTATGCTCATGCTATTCCATGCAATGTAGGATCTATAAGACATAGACTACCTTGCAAGCCAACATACCATTGCCTATATACAGTACCACCAATTAGGAAGTGTATGCAATGTACTGCAACACAGATATGCATACACACATACAATATTTATTTATTTATTGGACTTGTCCCCACCCATCTCCCCACAATGGGGGACTCTGAGCAGCTTACATCAAATTAAAATCATAAATACATGATTAAAAGTTATAAAAGAACCACACTTACAGAGATAAAAAAGATTAAAAGATCCAAGAGGCCAATAGAGGCCACACCAGGCCGCTAAGGGGCTAGCCAACCCCATGTCTGACATCCTCCCTCCCCGCCCCAGGCCAGATGGCAGAGCCAAGTCTTCAAATCCCTCCGAAAGGCCTGGAGTGAGGGGGCCTGTCTCACCTCCGGGGGCAAGATGTTCCAAAGGGCGGGGGCTACAGCAGAGAAGGCCCACCTTCTGGACCCCGCTAATCGGAGTTCTTTTACTGAGGGGGTCTGGAGCATGCCCTCTCTGTGAGATCGGGTGGGATGGGTTGAAATCGTGGGGGCGAGGCGGTCCTTCAGGTAACCTACATCTTTAATCTATATACTACTAAAACTCTCATGTCTGTAACCTTCAAGTGGGTAAAACAGTGTGTCAGAGCAACAATTTTTGAACCAAGGTACATCAAATAGGCTAACTTACAAAATGCATCCAAAATCCAGGACCCATTACTCCTGTGGTATTGAAATTTGGGAAATTTGTGGCTGTTTCAGTACTGCTATGCTGCTGTGGTCAGCCCAGGTTATGTGATCATCATGGGCATATCCCCAACCTCTTTCTCGCCTCCCTCCGTCCCGTTTGCCCAATTGGCTGGTGGTAATGCCTGATGGGCAAGTGGTAATTGGCTGCTGTGGAAACGAGGCAGTAATCTGAAATCTCTTAATGGCTGTTGGTGTTGAGGGAGGGAGGGAGGGAGGGAGGGGGGGGATTTCTGATGCTCCCTGGCAGTTTCCCACAAGCAAAGTCAATGGGGAAGCCGGCAGCAAGTTGCAAGTTGCTCATACTCCCACTGCTTTTTTGCCCTTGGTCATTCTTTTCTCTGTTTAGGCAAGGAAATATCTCTGAAACAATGACCCAACGGATCACCGGTTGTCCAGTACTTAGCTAAATATTGGTAGCAGAGTTATTACTGTTTCTTAGAAAAATCCAGAAAATTTGGTAATCCATACCTTGACATGTTAGCTTCTCACACTGCTAGGTTATCTTAAATATAAGGTTGCCATAACTGGGCTGCATAAATTGGGATAAGTACTGGAAAACAGCAAAACATTTTTTTCTGAATCTTTTCAGAACTGTAATTCCTAAAAAGCAAATATTGAACTTAGTTTTGCTTTTTAGGGGGATGTATTTAATTAAAGCGATAAGATCTGGGGTTAAGTTCACATTGTGAGTATAGGGGGTAATGGGCTAAGCTCTCTGAATTCCACTCCATTTGTATAAGTTCCCTTGTCTGTGCATCTGATTTTCTATCTATGTGACTCACAGGTGAACCTGAGTTGAGAATTATTAGACACCTGAGAGGAATTATTAAAAGGGAGAATTCTAGCCTTAAAAACATATTAGTAGAACTGAGTCAGCTAGGTGTGGTGCTGGAAATAACAGAGAAAACAGTCATTGGGCAGCTCACTAGGTTAGTAGTTTAACTGAAAAACCAAGATTGTATTGCATGTTCATACTTGTAATGTTCAAGCTTGCCAATGTTAATAATATTTTAAGATCCATTCATGCAGAATAACTTGTCCTAACAGCATAGTATTAAACAGAGGATTAATTTAATAGTGCCCTGGATTGGTAGAATTTTGGATGAACAGTAGATGGAGCGCTTTAAACAGTACAAATGATTCTTTAATTCTGTGATTTTGTATGCAATCAATAACTTGCCATCTGTTGACAAGACAAATGGCTCTATTCATGTGTGTGGACAAATACAAATTAGATTAAAGTTTTTTGAAATATGAGGAAATATAAGCATCATAGACAAGCTCAGAGCCCTTTTCCATTACTGAATTACATTGCCCTCCACCTAGTCTTAAATCAGCAGAAAATTATACTGGCATGAGATTTGTTATCTTCATTTCTGAATCCCTATCCTGCCTCAACTGCCTATGTTCCAAGTCACTGCAGTTATCTGACTTCCCTCCAAGTAACCCGTGACCAAGCAGAATAGATTTTACACAACTTGAGACGGCCCTTAGAGACAATGTCAGAGTGAAAGCATAAATACTATTTTAACACAATATAGCTAAGGATGATGGAAATGTGACCGATTCATGGGGCTCCTCCCCATGGATCAGCTGAACTTCTACCTACCAATCCTTCAGCTGACAGAAAACTATACCAGCACAAAATATGCTGCTGATGCTGCTGATCCCTATCCTGCCACTGGAAGAATGCCATCAAATAGTGGAGTCTTTATTTACCATGAACTGGGCAAGCTAAGGAAAGAGACTGGTGGACTTCCCCAACATTGTTTCCCTCCCTCCAACTAACCAACCATCATAAACTAGCATCACAAAATATTTACCAGTTATTCTTCTTAAGTGGGATGAGCTGGGGAACATGTGAATTTTGACAACTGATGAGATCAATGGGTCTAGGCTTCTGTCAGTATTTACTGCAGGCTTTGCACAAGTTCAGGGCCTTGGGATCACAGGAGCTGGAAGAGGTGGCAAGAGAAATGGGAAGCTGACACTTGGCTTACCAGCACTTGTCAGGAAGCCCCCCAAACAAGTGACGGTTCAGGGAGTTATGTGGTCAAAAAGGAGAGATCTGGCCTCACAACATGCCCACCACCCTCCAGCACCTGTCAATTATTTTTCAGGCTCCTTTTGAAAACCCATATTTACCACTTTTTCAGATGATGCTTAAAAGTCATCCATCTTTAAAAGTAGCCCAACTAACAGCTGATAGGCAGGCAGGTGGTTGTTTGATACAGTCGTAGAACTCCCTGCTACTTCACTTTACAACCCTCCCTCCCCCCCCACCCCATTTTGCCTGGTTAAGAAGAAAAACGTCTTTAAAACTGGCACAGCTAAGGACAATTTTAAAATGCCTGAGTTATGGGGTTAGGATAAGGATGAAAACAATATCATGATATATGTCAGAAAAAAAAGAAGTTGCCAGGTCACGTTTGTACAATGGTTAGGAGCAAGTTGGGAAATGTTTTTAGTATGTCTTTCACATCACAACCAAACACAATTATTTAAAATAATGTAGGGAAATTCCCCAAAAAGATGACTGCCTTCTGTATGATGATTTTCAAAAGTAAGGGAGCTTTAATACCACTGCTACAGTGTAGGCTAGTGCTGATTCCTCAACACCACTGGCTTTGGAACAGCTGAATGTCAGACCTTGCAAGACCTGGGTTCAAAATGACAGCTCAGTCCTAAAACATAGCGGGTGATGCTAAGTCAGATAACAACTTTCAGTATAAGTTACTACACAGGTTTTTTTAAATCTAATAATGAAGAAGATATACCTTGTATAACTAATGTAAAGTGAAAAATTAATAGGGAAGCCAATGGTTCTAATGCAGTTCACGCTGCTTTATTCTCAAGTAGCTGTTCTGAGCAAAAGGACTGGCTTCATTTACCGAGGGGATTTGTAGTAGTTCAAAACTTGCTCACCTACACCTCCGAACAGCTCTAGCCTTTATGGCCAGTGAGGAGCCACCAATTCTGCATATCTTTTCTTATCTCTGTGTAACGATGACTGTATTTTAGTCACAGAGAAGTCACTACAGTATTTGGACGTGTTGTTCAAACTCACCTCAGAGGCCCTCAAAAATGTGGATAATGAATCATTTTATGGGAAAAGAAATGGAAGATGTGCTTAGGAAAATATTAAAGAGCACAAACATTTAAAAAAATATGAGAGAACACAAAAGATCTATATTCTATATACAACTTCCCTCAGTACTAAATATCTGGCTATATCACAGAACCTACAATATGGCCACTTGCCATAGTTAATGTATACATTTTTTAAAGTGATAGCTTTTTTACATCTAGTAAAGATGGATCAAGTTCTTAGATTATACTGGAAATCAAGAGAAAGCATTCAAGTACATATAATTAAACATCATCTATTTGTATTTTTGTAGATGTGTACATTAATCAAGATGTCTAAATTTCATTAAAATCACCTCGGTAATCACCAAACTGCTGCTCAGAGCAAACTGTTTAAAGGATGGTTTTGCAAAAGACTGTCTTTCTCTGCAGTACCTCCAGATAGTCAACTTGTTCAGACAAATAGGCACCAGCATGTATTGCACAACAAAGACTTGAAATAGGCAAAAGAGCAAATCTTGCAAAGCAAAATAAGGAATAGAAATTCTCCCACGTGGAAGAAATTACAGTTCTATTTCTGTGAATCTAAAGGTGAAGTAGGAAGAAAAAAAACTTGCTCAGGTATTCATTTAAAATAAAAATTTGCTTATGATGCTTCACAAACTATATGAAGGAAACTGAATTCTAGTACTGTAGGTGTATGTACTGTATATAACTATGAAAAATCAGTACCATTACACAAGGGTGTCTGCGTAGGAGGGAGCATCAAAAAAGTCAAGGGGGTAGGTGTGACTGTGCAATCAACCCCCCACCCCTTTTTTACAGGCATATGATATGTATGGCACATATTGAAATGCAGCAAGCTTCAAATGCATGGTCACAGTCACGATCTCCTTTTCTGACTCTTTCTCATGGACACCCAGCCATCACTTTTAGAACACAATCGTATGCATATTGACTCAAAGTATATATGACTAATACAGTGATTCGGTTCACACAATGTGCTAAATCATGGGTTGTTTAACCATGGTTTATTGAATAAGCTGCAAGTGGCTAAGAACACAAAATATGCTAAGCCAGAACTATACTTTTAAGGTGTAACAGTAGGATTCATACAATGTGCTAAGCCAAAACCAACCAACCAACCAATGATGGAATGGTATGATATATGAATCCAATCACTGACTCAAACCACTGGTTCACCAGAATCAGAATTACAGTGGTACCTCGGGTTACGAATTTAATCTGTTCCGTGACTCTGGTCGCAACCTGATTTGTTCGCAACCCGAAGCAAATTTTCCATAAGGTACAATGTAATTACCGTTAATCCGTTCCGGCATCCGCGGACCACACGTCAAGGGCGGAAAAACGGCCGCGGACCACGCATCAAGGGCGGAAAAACGGCCGCAGACCGTGCGGCAGGGCGGAAAAACAGCTGCAGACCACGCGGCAGGGTGGAAAAACGGCCACGGACCACGTGGCACGGGTGGAAAAACGGCCGCGGACTGCGCAGCAGGGCAGAAAAACAGCCGTGGACCATGTGGCACGGGCGTAAAATGACCGCGGACCACGTGGCACGGGCGGAAAAATGGCCGAGGACCACGTGTCATGGCGTAAAATGGCCGCGGATCCGGTTCGTATCCCGAGGCAGAGTTCGCAAACCAAGGTAAATTTTTGCAGCCGGAGCTGGTCGCAACCCGAAAAGTTCGTAAGCAGAGGTGTTTGTAACCCGAGGTACCACTGTATCTCCCAGCGGCAGCTTACGGGGTCTCAGTGGTTTTCATCATATCATGTAGGAATTGGCAAACTTTTTTGTAAAGGGCCAGATCCTGCCTCTTCTCTGCCTCTACTGGTGCCACTGGCGGGTCTATAGGCCAAGGAATGTTTATTTGAATGTTAAGATTGTCTCAAATATTGCTTCCTGTTATTTTATTTATTCTTGCTGAAGAGTTTATTTAACTGCTTTAAAAAGATATATATCCTGAGAAGAAATAAGTGATAGTAATAATTAATAAGCTTCATGTATCTGATTAAGTACAGCTACCTCAAAAACTCAATATTATTCTTTATTTTTTAATAGTAATTTTATTAAAACTTACAACTTCAGAGATAAAAACTAATACAAATTAAAGAAAAAAGAAAAAATTGGATGTGCAGAAAAGAAAAAGAAAATAGAAAAGAACTAGAAAAGAGAAAAAATAAGAACTTAGTAAAGAAAAAGAAAAGAAATATATAAAGAAATGACTTCCCCCTTCATCACAACAAATAAAAACGATTCTAGGAACTTATTACCTTCTCTAAAATACAACAAATGATCTCTTCGTCCCATATCCCATCTCTTATCTATAAACAAATCCTTAAAACCTCATCATTTCAGTCCTCTACATCAAAAGTCCATTAAGGGTTATCAGAGATAACAATATATCTATTCTAACCTTGATCAAATAAACCAACTTTACATTCCTTCCTTTTACTTTTAAGAATCTTGAGTTTTAGTCTGTTCAAATAATGTCCTAGAACTTGATTTCTTTTCATTTTTTCTTTGTCCCTTCTCACAAAATTCTTCTAAGCTTTAACAAGTTTGTAAATCCAATTATAGGACAATTATCCAGGTCACTTTCTTGATTTGTTATTTTTATATCTAATGTCCTAGAACTTGATTTCTTTTCATTTTTTCTTTGTCCCTTCTCACAAAATTCTTCTAAGCTTTAACAAGTTTGTAAATCCAATTATAGGACAATTATCCAGGTCACTTTCTTGATTTGTTATTTTTATATCCCTTTTAATTATTAAGACGTCAGCTGGTTTCTTTTGTATGTCCAATATAACATCTTTTTCCATATCATTCTTGCAGCCTGTCATTTTAAAATCCACCTTCAGATCAGTCTCAGTCTTATCTGGTAAAACTAGTTCCTCTTCCATAACACCTTTTAAACACAGTCTGTCTATAGAGGCAGATACTCTTAAAATTATCTTCTGGGTCCATTGTTCAAAAATAGCCTTCAATACGTCCAATGTTAAAATATTTTGCTCCATTCTGTAGTAGTAAGTTAAATTTAAGTGTTCTTCTCCTTTAATTGTAATCTTTAGTTCCTTCTAGTTCCCTCTAGTGTCCAACTTTCAAAGTCCCATCCTATTTTTTTTTAAAGATAATTCAAAACAAAAGCATTTCCCATGGGAAGAATTCTTATAATTAATTCCAAAATCTTATTTCAAATCCATCGGAACCCTTAGTCTATTTGTAATTTTCAAAAATCAAAGTTCTAATCACCCTTTTGCTATTTATTAAAAAAAAAATTTTTTTTAAGTGCTTAATGTTGCATTTAAGGCTTCTTTCGCTAAGGATTGAAGGAAACTCATCTGATGTTTTCAGACTTATTGATCCAAAAGTTCCTAATAGCTGAAAAGCAGTTAATGAGCAATTTCCACATCTGAGATTGAGGCAATCTCAAGTCCTCTCTTTGTCCAGAGGAATTAAGAAGAGCAGGTCTACTCACCGGTTTTTCATTCTACCACAGTTTTCAGCTCTGCTTTTAGCGGAGCTGTCTTCAGTTTGCCATTTCCTCCCCGGAAGTCCCAAAAGCTCAATATTATTCCTAGCAGCCAAAATTTACTTGGACATAGAAAAAGAACATGGACAGACCTCCACATGGTTTTGTTGCAACTAACAGCTCAATGGAAAAGTTCAGCTGCTTTTCCATTTTGAATCAGCTTCCTTAGGCAAGCAATTGGTCAGTTATTGTAAAAATATTTAAAACAACCCCAAATATATATGTTGGACTTTCAATCTAGCATACTCTTCTTTTTCTTTAGAATCGTAGTAAATGAGATAAATGAAAGGTATGATTTTTAACCTCTAGTGTTCCAT